CCACTGGCTAATTGTTCCCACTGTCAGGAAATTTCTCCTTAGCTCTAAATTGCTTCTCTCCTTGATTAGTTTCCATCTGTTGCTTCTTGTCCTGCCTTCAGGCGCTTTGGAAAATAGGTCCCCCCCCCTCTTCTTTGTGGCAGCCCCTCAAATATTGGAACACTGCTATCATGTCACCCCTGGCCCTTCTTTTCACTGACAAGACATACCCAGTTCCTGCCACCATTCTTCATATGTTTTAGCCTCTAGTCCTTGACCTACCACCAAAATTTATGTGGCTGAGCAAGGCGGTTATTAAGCGAGTCACACTCTATTTTATTTTTTTTCCCATGGTTGTTAAGTGAATTGGGTGGTCATTAAGCAAATCCGGCTTCTCCCATTGATTTTATTTGTTGGAAACTTATTGAGAAGATCACAAATGTTGATTACATGACATTGCAACCATCCTAAATACATACCGATTGCTGAGTGCTTGAATTTTGATCCTTTGATCCGGGGGATTCCTCAATGGTTGTAAATAAGAGGACTAGACATAAGTCAGCTTTCTCCCATCTTGTTGCAACCTCAAATGGTTGCTAAACAAATGGTTTTAAGTCCAGGATTAACTGTATTCTACACCCCTTCGTTCGTTGTTTATCTTCGCCTCAATATCAACTGTAGTTATAATTGGTATAGTTTGAGTTGAAATGCTTTACTTTTTGTGACTGGGTATCTACATTTTAAATTCTTAGTCCTCCAATAGTTGTAATTAAACAGGTAGTCCTTGACTTACGACCACAATTTAGCTCCCAAATGTCTCTTGCCAAGTGAAACATTTGTTAAGGGAGTTTTGCCTTATTTTACGACCTTTCTTTTTACGGTTGTTAAATGAATCACTGCAGTTGTTAAGTCAGTCACACCGTTGTTAAGTGAATCTGGCTTCCCCATTTGACTTGGCATGTCAGAAGGTCGCCAAAGGGGATCACGTGACCCCGGGGGACGCTGCAACCGTCATAAGTACATGCCAGTTGCCGAGCAATCTGAATTTTGATCACGTGACCACGGGGATGCTGCAACGGTCGTAAGTGTGAAAAATGGTTATAAATCACTTTTTACAGTGCCATTGTATCTTTGAACAGTCACTAAATGACAATTAGCATCAACAATATTACTAACTTAATAACTGCAGTGGCAAGAAAAGTCGTAAAATGGGGCAACACTCACTTAACAACTGTCTCACTTAGCAACAGAAATTTTGGGCTCAATTGTGGTCGTAATTTGAGGACTATCTGTAATAGATTCAAGTTGTGCCAGCTGGCTCATTTTGCACCCACAAATTGCTCAGCAAAAGTGCACAGAGAACAGCATGAATGCTCTTATGCTCTCCTCCTGACGTGGTTGAACATGTTCCTTCCACCCCATAGTTGCATCTTCATAGGAAACGTGTTCAGCATGATGTATCCCAGAACAGCATACCCCCCTTCTTTTCCTAGATCTGAAGGATCAAAGTTCCACTTCATATTTACATTTGAAAAAGCAGGGAACGGGCGCCAATTGTTTTACTGTGCCCTGTTAATTCTTTCAGAGGGCTGACTTGTTGAGGCTTGCTGTGGCATATTTCAAATTGCTGTTTGTTGAAATAGGAGCCCGAGACTGGTGTCTACCAAAAGTGTCTATGGAAATTCTTAGTCATCCAGATCATGGTTGTCCCAAAGGTGCTTTTTCAAAAGGCAACTGGACTTCGTTTGCTTTTTTCTGGAAGATGTTTCACTTCTCATCCAAATATGAAGAAAAAAAGCTTCTTCAATGAGAAATCAAATATCTTCAAAGAAAAAAAACAAAGAAAGTCCAGTTGCCTAAAAAAAAAAAAGCAGCTTTGAGATACCGTATTTTCCGGCGTATAAGACGACTTTCTAAACCCTGAAAATCTTCTCAAAAGTTGGGGGTCGTCTTATACGCCCAGTCGTCTTATACGCCGGAAAATACGGTATCTACTAAAAAGGGTGCTGGAACTAACTCCAGCTGCCCTCTCTAATACTATGAAAAAAATTATGTTTCCCCGTTAAAACAGAGTTGCTTCCCACCATCAAATGATGAATGGTTGAGGGAGATAGGTTTGTGTAGTAGCCTATCAAAGAGAAGGATGGGGGTGGATGGGACACAATAGCTGTTGTAGAGAAGGATGGGGGTGGACCTCTTCTCCAAAGCACCAGAGGACAGGACAAGAAGCAACGGGTGGAAACTTGTTAAAGAGAGATCCAAACTAGAAGTAAGGAGAGCCTTTTTTGACAGTGAGAACAATGGATGGAATAGCTTGTCTACCAGTGTTGTGGGTGCCCCATCACTGGAGGTTTTCCAAAATAGGAGGGACAGCCATTCAACTGGGATGGTGTAAGGCTCCTGCCTTGAGCAGGGTTGGATTAGAAGACCTCTGAGATTCATTCCAGGCCTATGAAAATCTATTTCCCAGCTCCATTCGCTTGTGTCATGCTCGCTTGTTGTATTCCCATTTATTGATCAATACTGGGAAGCTGTAGCACCAGAGAGCAGAATAGATTGTCCAGGGGAAGTACCCAATTACCTCTGTCTTCCTTGTTCTCAGCAACATGATGGCGTTTTACATATCTGCGTACAACGTGATTTCAAGGGCTGGGTGAATAAGATAGAATGTCAGAGAATAGGAAAAAATCCCTATTAACAGGTAAGGCTATTCCCATCATAATTTTGTGGCTCCCCTTGCATTGTAGGTAGGACCTAAAATGGACAACCTATAAAGTGAATAGGCTGGACGTTCTTTTTAATTGCCTTTCCATCTTTTGGGAATGTTGAACATTTCATAAAGTCAGGCAATAACAAAATAAATGGATTCTGTCTAGGCAAAGCAGATGTTGATGGATGAACTGTGAGCCAGATCTAAAACCAGAACTATTATTTTTTTTTAGTATTGCTGAGAAATAAGATGAATGCATACAAGTTTTCAGCAGAGTTTAAAATGCTGCTAAATTGGAAATGCCATGTGTATTTTCCCCTTAAGACACAAATATTGTAGGAAAGATACGTACTGTTAAACCCTCAAAATATTTACAAGTGCTTTGGTGCAAATTATGTGAAAGAAGAAAGCCCAGTGTTATGTAAAATAAAGCTAAAACTTTTTTTGAACATGACTCTGGGATATAGTTCTCTGTGATATAAAATCATAAAGCCAAGGTCAAACAAACTAGTTTGGAATGGATCCAGTTATACATATGTGTGAAATCAGACAATAATTCCTTCCTCAACTTTTGTCTGGGGCAAATTGGAACTTGCTGTGACAGTTTATTAGGACAACAGCTTATTGAGACAATATACGGCTTGTGTTTGGTTGCGGTTTGAATTGGCAAGTAATGTGATGATTGTCTGGAAGCAGAGGCAGGAAAAGAGGAAGCCAGGATATTGAATGAGAAACTGAGGGAGGAGGCGATATGTATGTTAGAAGGTTGCTTGTGACACATCATGGCTGGTGGGACAGGTACACTCCCTCTTAGTTCGTGTGAAATTTTAAGAATGTACTAATATTCCATTGTAATAATCCATTTTTGTTAAAAACAGTGCTGGAAGGAGAGGATTTGTTCATGGGGTGTTAACTGAGTTTTCGATTATCAAGTTTTAGGACAAAAGCCTGGAGCTGTTGGGAATTGATTGGCCTCTTCCGGTTAACAAAATTCAACACGGTTAGTGATAAAGTTCTTGACCTCATCTGACTTGGCAGAAATACAAACTTTGCTGTTGAAATCATTGGTTTGACTTCCACGAGGAAGGTGCTGCCTTTAGCTCTTTGCTTCCGAGGCTTTCCAGTTCTCCCGAAAATTGGAAGGTGCCTACAAAAAGGGTTCTTGGCCTTCGCCAACAACAGGGTTGGCAAAGTGTACCTGGCTAATTTTTTTCCTCCTTCTTCCAAACTCTCAGGTGTATGTTAGAATTGAGCAGAAGATGCTAAAAGGTGCAAAGAGATGTGTTTCTATTTCATTAGCCAAATGCTTTCCTGTTGGCAGTGAAATATGCCTGGTAACCCTAATGGTTTTGCCCAAGTTACAATTGTCCATAGCACTGTGAACAAATGAATGAATGAATGAGAGAGAGAGAGAGAGAGAGAGAGAGAGAGAGAGAGAGAGAGAGAGAGAGAGAGAGAGAGAGAGAATGCATTTTGAAAGAAATGAAAACTTGGGTACCACATTTTCCCAACTCAGTGTTCTCAAGGTATTCAAAGACTACAACTTAGAACAATCCCCAGGCCAGTTGCTGACCATGGAATTTGAGTTTTGGATGGCACAGAGGCAGCTATCTGGACAGTAGAAGGTTAATGAGCTGGAACAATATGAATCAAGAGTTTCTGAAAATTCAATGGAAAAGAGAGGAGGAGGAGGAGGAGGAGGAGGAGGAGGAGGAGGAGGAGGAGGAGGAGGAGGATAAAGATAAAGATAGATAAAATCAGGTAAAGAAATGTTTGCAACCAAACAACCAAGTTCACAGAGCACCAAGAACTCCAGACAGTTCCTGAAAATAAACATTTTATATTTGAGATTAATTGGCTTGATATCATACCATAACTTTATAATAGTATTATTAATTCTTTGTATCACTGTTTATTTTTATTTTTACTGATACGTTTCAACGGATACATTTTGATTTATTGCAAATGTACGATATGTGTTGAAGATAATGCTAGTAAGCTTCTTAGAGTTTTGTGATTGAAGAGACCTAGAAGCTTTTAATAAATAAATTTTCTAATAGCCATCAAATAGAAAACCAGAAATGATTTGGGTTATATAAAGGCAAATCCTTTTTTGTCACTTTAGTTGGCTGTCAAGCCATGCCTTATAAACAAGCAGAGAAGCCACCAATAATCCCAAAATGATCGGTGATAATCCAATTTACAGCACTGTAAAATGCATCAGAGGGATTGTTCCCTTGGCTTCCCTTTCTCAGAATTCTCCTGAACTTCCCTCCTGAAATGACGTCCACCCTTATTCCTCTTTCTACAGGACATGGAAATCATAAAGAAAGTAGCCCCTTCCTCAACACGCCAGATCAAGGCAAAGGAGATTACTATGACCGAAACTTGGCTTTATTTGAGGTAACGATGATGCTTGAAATTTCATTTTTGGTCAATTTTTCAGCTTTCCAGAATGCTCAGTTTGGCCCTTGTCCAACGAGTTTGAAGGACATCAAGGAGGTCCTGATCCCTTCAAACCGTAGAGCTTTTTCTCTCATGCTTTCAGTTCCTTAACTAATTATACGAAGATGTGCATATACTCTCAGCATCCATAATAAATGTTTTCAGAAAAAAATTGATCTAAAACAAAAAATATTGATCTAAATTTAAAAAAAATCAAGGCTAGGGTCACAACTCTGCGGTTGAAGTCCTGCTCTTTATGTGCATTGCATGTGCATATAAATTAGGAAATAATGTGTAACTCACGTTCTTATCATTACTTGGTAGTACTCTTTACTATAATATGCTCTACACAAGGCTACCTTTAAAGACTGGATGGAAACTTGTACAGTTGGTACATCTACTAGTTGCTGTTGTTTTTTCTTCTAGTCAAGTCCCTGCAGTACTGTTGCCAACGTTTTTCAGAATTGTTTGCCGTTGCCTCCTTCCTAGGGCTGAGCGAAAGGGACTGGCTCAAGGCCACCCAGTTGGCTTTGTGCCTAAAATGAGACCACGGCTCGTGGTCTCCTGGTAGCTACGCATGAAAAAATAATATTTTATATTGGAAAAATGTAATCATGAGGAATGTTGGCAATAAATCTGCAGTAGAATGGATCACCAAAGATCCGTGATTGATTTTTTTTTTAAATTTCCTAAAAATAATGACTCAACACGAGGAACTAGTTTACCCTGGCAGTTATAAATATACCAATTTGATTGTAATCCCTCTGAAACAGGCTAGAAAATGTTCAAAGTATACAGTGTCATTTTAAAGGGATGTGGTGTTATCCATGAATCAGTTTTATGGTTATATCTGTTTGTAGAAGAAGATAGACTATATTTCAGCTCTGTGATTCCTTTGTCGTCTTCTTGAATCTCGGGCAGTATTTGTTGGGTTTAGCAAGCTGAAGATAAATGGATTTAATCTCTCAGCTGGCTGGGGGATTCTGGGAGTTGACATACACCCATCTTCAAGTTGCCAAGCTTGAGAAACACTGCTCCAGTGTTTTGTTATGGAACTTTGGTTCGCATCATAGTAGAGCATCAATGCCTGGATACGAGCTCAGAAAAGAGAATTGGGTTATCCATGGGATGAGATGAGCATGTCTTACAATAACTCCTGGGAAGATGGCTGCTCACAGGTTTGGGATTTGACTCTTGATGTTATCCTGGCAGTGCAGTTCAAGCTGGCTGAAATATTGTAGGTGTAGCTTAATATGAAAGGAGAGGAAGCTGCTGTATTGGACACGATCCAAGGCTCTAGAGCAGAATTCTGGGAGTTGAAGTCCACATGTCTTAAAAGTTGCCAAGGTTGAGGACCCCTGGGGTAACAGATCACATTTAAACTCTGATTCTCAGGCTGAGTACTGCCCAGACAAGGATTAAAAATAAACGAACTGTTAGTTGATATGAAGGCATTTATAGAAAGAAAAATATATAAACCTAGGATGGATGTTTTCAGTTGCTTTTCTGGCTGGCCTGCTAGAATGATAGAAAACTGCCCAAATTCAACATAATTCTTTCTCTCTCCCTCCCTCCCTCCCTCCCTCTCTCTCCCTCTCTCTCTCTCTCTCTCTCTCTCTCTCTCTCTCTCTCTCTCTCTCCCTCTCCCTCTCCCTCTCCCTCTCCCTCTCTCTCCCTCTCCCTCCCCCCTCTCTCAAACGGTGTCTCTATCCTGTCTCATGGCTTTTTTTAAAAAAAAAACAAGATGCTAGGCAGCCTGGCTACTTTGTGGGTTGCAATGAGATGCTCCATTTTGTGAATTCATTTCCATAGAGATGCCTACAGAGACGTGCTGCCGTTGGCCCAGCAGGTCTGCTTGGTTAGTTAGCCTTTTCAGAAGTTGGCTTGGTGGCAACATGGAATGTCCCTCTTCCTCTGGGAGGTCAAGCCCCCCTCAACTTTTGGTTTTGGTTTTGCCTATTTTGCTGGAAATGCCAAGAAAGGAGGCCGACCTTGTACAATGGAGGTCGGTGGCTTTTAGGTTTCCCTTGAGAGAGCACCATGTAAGAGTTGATGGCTACAGGTGAAGCAGTCTAAGCTTTCCAGGACCGAAACGCTGAAATTCTACTGTCCCTGTTGACCAATGTATCCTTGCACTTTTCTCTTTGTAGGAAGAACTGGATATTCGCCCCAAAGTGTCTTCTTTATTGGGCAAATTGGTCAGCTACACAAACCTCACTCAAGGAGCCAAGGAACACGAAGAAGCGGAAAATGCCGAAGGCGCGAGAAGTAAAGTTTCAAAAGTATGTCGCTTTCCTCAGCTTGTGTCTGTGTTCAGTTTGTGTTTGTGAGGAGTCAACTTTGCAAGGCCCAGCCAGCCATTTGGATGGACAGTCTCTGAGGAATCCCATGAATTGGGACCAGTCCCTTGGTTGAATCCACAGGGGCTTACATGTGACCTTTAGAAGACAAGGACAATGTCTGGATTTAGAGGATTACTTTTTATCACAAGGGGTGACTGCTGGGCCAAGGGACATCTCTGGACAGAGGGGAATGGTGCTTGGGCCACGGTTTTGAAAGAGCCCTGGTAGTGCAGTGGTTAGAATGCAGTACTGCAGGCTACTTCTTTTGACTGCCAGTAGTTGGGCAGTTCGATTCTCACCAGCTCAAGGTTGACTCAACCTTCCATCCTTCTGAGGTCGGTAAAATGAGGACCCAGATTGTTGGGGACAAATAGGTTGACTCTTTAAAGCACTTAGAGAGGGCTGTAAAGCACTGAAGTGGTATATAAGTCTAACTGCTATTGCTACATCATTCTACTTTGCTGAGATGACTTCTTCTCTTTTTCAGTCTCCCAGCATGGGGACCCTGATGGGTGTCTACCTGCCATGCATGCAGAATATTTTTGGGGTTATCCTCTTTCTTCGGCTGACATGGATAGTGGGAACAGCAGGTGTCGTCCAGGCCTTCCTTATTGTCTTAATCTGCTGCTGCTGTGTGAGTACATGGCCTCAACATCCTTTAGATGCCACCTACTTTCTTGTCTTCCACCCATGCCGTGGGTTTTTATCCCGAATCTTCCCGATCGGCATATCTCAGTGTCCAAATTTATGGCTGGACGGATTCCAGCTGGATGGATTTCCTCCCTACATTTTCCTTTTTTTACTAGAAACCTCAAAACGTGCCAGACGCAAACTAGGACTCAACAAATTGGTTGGGTAAACATGTACTTAGAATCAAGGAATTCTATATCTGAAACTGAATTCGACGTTCCGTTGGCATACTTTTCTAATTCAGTGCTTTTTCCATTCCATAAAATAAGCCCGTTTGATGCAAGTGAAGGAAACATTAAAAGAGACTATTTGTAGCTCACGCTTGAACTATGGGGTCCTTGGTGCTCCCTAAGCTTGGCTGTTTTGTTGGAGATGTTTCATTACCCAAACTAAGTAATATCATCAGTGGAGGAAATAGCTGTTGATCCCCAACATTGCTAGAATTCCCTGTAATACCGAGCATGCTTCTTTTTCTATTTTCATGTGGTTTCATCCTTACCGAATTTGGTCTTGTTCTGTTCAGTTTTCAGGGATTTATCTTCGTGTTGGATGGACAGACAGAATCCCAAACCCCCTTTGCACAATAACATTCTTTTGGGTTGGAAAGACAAACAATTAAAGGATTTGGTTACATCCCGTGGCAAACATGTGGTATATTTAAATTGGATGATTCCTGTGTTCCTATATGTTTAAACTCTGTTATTGTCATTCACAGACCATGCTGACAGCTATATCAATGAGTGCAATTGCCACAAATGGTGTCGTTCCAGGTACACTGCGATTTATTTGTCATGATTGTGATTTTGAAGCTCTTGAGTCCCAGTGGGAAAGAGATACTTGAATGAATGATTGATTGCTTTATTGACTGACTTGCTATCAAGTTGATGTCAACTACCCAGAACAGAGCCATGGTGTTGCAGTGGTTAGAATGCAGTATTGCAGGATAACTCTGCCCACTGCCAGAAGTTCGATCCTCACCAGCTCAAGGTTGATTCAGCCTTCCATCTTTCTGAGATTGGTAAAATGAGGACCTGGATTATTGGGGGCAATATGCTGATTCTGTAAACCGCTTAGAGAGGGCTGTAAAGCACTGTGGGGCAGTATATAAGTCTAAGTGCTATTGCTATTGCCAACCTGGCCCTTTAGGTCTTTCAACATATCCACCACTGCTCTGAATTCATTCACCCTGCTTCTGTTCTTCCTTTTCTTTCTGTCCATTTTTCCTGGCCCAAAGTCACCCAGTTGGCTTTCAGGGCTGAGGTGGGACTAGAACTTAACGTCTCCTGGTAATTGGCCCAAAGTCAACCAGCCGGATTTCATACCTAAGGTTGGGACTAGAACTCCCCATCTCCTGGTGATTGGCCCAAAGTCAACCAGCCGGCTTTCATGGCTAAGGTGGGACTAGAATTTATGGTCTCCCACTTTCTAGCCTGATGCCTTCACCACTAGACCAAACTAGCTGATTTAGATTTTGCTTTTTCGGAGCATCCTTATTTTAGACATTTGTAGACTTTTCGCTTTTATTTGTTCTTTGTGTGCTAGCTGGTGGTTCCTACTTCATGATTTCAAGATCATTGGGTCCTGAATTTGGAGGTGCTGTGGGACTGTGTTTCTACTTGGGAACCACATTTGCAGGTGCCATGTACATCCTGGGTGCCATTGAGATCCTACTAGTAAGTAGTTAACCCATATATTGCCACACACATTAAATCTACCGAGGTTGAGGAGCACTGTGTTAGGATGATGGTTCCCAGGTTTCCCAGGTCCAGCATGGTTCAGAAGTCTTCTTGGTTGAAATTCTGGAAGCTTCAATCTCAAAATCATCTGGTGGCTGGCCTAATTGGAGGGGAGGGCTGTGGTGTCTGACTTCATTTTGGACATTGTGCACGTCTTGACTTCCCAATGTGTGTCTTGGACAGCTCGTTTTTGTTGCCATCACTAAAGTCATGTTCTTCCTCTTTCAGACATATATTGCTCCCCAGGCTGCCATTTTCCATCCAACTGGGGCCCATGATACTTCCAATGCCACCCTGAATAACATGCGAGTCTATGGGACCTTATTTCTCACCTTCATGGCTCTTGTAGTCTTTGTGGGTGTAAAATACGTTAACAAGTTCGCTTCACTCTTTTTGGCTTGCGTCATCATTTCCATCTTATCCATCTATGCTGGGTCAATTAAATCCATCTTCAGTCCACCTTTTTTCCCGTAAGTAGAAGTACTTGGGAATGTCAACTCATAATGCCGGTTTATGGAAACTCTGATAAAATCTCTAGCTGGCTTGGAGGGAGGTGTTAGGGGGGGGGGAAGGGAGAGCTTAGAGTTCTTGCACTGCAGAAAGTAGCACACATCTGAAGAATTAGAATCCTTGAAGTCTTATCTGACCATTACCCAGGAAATGCAATAAGACTGGCAAGATTCCTGCAATATAGGTGAATAACAATAAAGCTTCTGTTTGAGACTTTCGGATTGCTTGTGCCTGACAGAAGCCATGGACGAAGGAGAGACCACCGCAATGGGAGGGTTAAAAGACATTCCAGCTTAGAGTCCATTGAGGGAGGAAACCATTCAGGAGAGGAAACCTTTGAGGTCAAACCCTTAGCACAATATCTGGTTCCCCCAAGGGAAGACTACATGGTGAATTCTTCTTAAAATGGTTGCCAACAATAAAGGACCCTATTTGACCCATTCTCCGAGCTGCTTGCACCTGGCAAGTTAAGATGTTAACTATGCAGGCAGTCCTTGACTTATAACAGTTCATTTAGTGACCATTCAAGTTACAATGGCACTGAAAAAAGTTTCTTATGACCATTTTTCACACATCCCCAGGGTCACGTGGGTCAAAATTTGGACATTTGGCAACTGACTCACATTTATGACGGTTGCTGTATCCCAGGATCATTTGATACCCTTTTTCGACCTTCTGACAAGCTAAATCAATTGGGGAAGCCAGGTTCACTTTACAACTGTGTTACTAACTTGACTGCAGTGATTCACTTAACAACTGTGGCCAGGGAGGTCATAAAACGGGGCAAAATTCACTTAACAACTGCTCCACTTAGTAGTGGAAATGGAAATGGCTAAGAGTCAATTGTGAGCCTAAGTCAAGGACTACCTATAATGGCAGAAGCTCCTACAATGATTCTTTATCAATGGCATTCCACTCCCTACTAAATATATTAATTATTTTGGGGTCCTTTGATGGTTTTGCTTTTGTCATTAGTTGCCCTTTGGTTTCTTTTAGAAAACTAAGAGGTCACTGGACTTCTTTGTTTTTCTTGCACTAAATTAAAATAGAGTTAATTCTAGGAGACAACCTTGTGAGTTTATTGCAGTAAAAACCATGAAGATTCTGAATCTTGGAAAGCTACCAGATTATTAAGGCATCTGCTTAGAATCTGTTTCTCAGGGCAAAATGTACAAGCAGTAAGGTCCAAAAGGAATCTTCCATTATTTGTGTATTTTTTTTAATTTATTTATTTACAGTGGTATATTTATATACTGTATAAGTATCACTGTACCCAGATAATGTACACCTTGTTTTTTATAATAATATAGTAAAACAATATTAACACGAAAAGGAAGGACATAGAAACGGTTCAACATTTGCATTTGTTTCTCTTTGTTTTGCTTGTTTTAAGTTCTCACATACACAAATGTTCAGGGTTGTTTTGTGCTCTGGTAGAAGAACGCAAAATAGAGTCTGTGGTCTGTTTAATCTTTGTCTTTCCTCCTCTGTGTCTTAACATGTATTGTTGTTATTTTTATCTCCAAGCTGGTAACTTTCAGATGAGTTGGAATAGAAAAAATGTTTGAATTCATAAACCAGAATTGGGACTTTAAAGGAAAAGAATGCAACTTGTAAAAAAAAAGGATGGAAGAATGTTTTTCATCCCTCACTGCTAATATTAGAACTTGGGAACTTCCTCTGAAAACTGATTAAGTTGATAAATTTAGCAGAGCTAAGAGAAAAATTTATTTTCATATATCACCAAATGTTGCTGTTTTCATCCTTGGTTTTACATGCCTGGCTACTTATTTTGGAAAGCCAGATGTTGGATTTAGTCTTATTCCTGCTGCCTTCGTGGTGTTTATCAAAAGGAGATCTAATAAGACTAAAAATAAAGACATATCCTTGCATATTTTTAATGAACCACTTTTGGCAGCTTTTTGAGAAAAGTTGGGGTAGAGGGACTATTTTTCTTTGAACAGAAATATGCCAACTTTTACCTGGTGAAAATGTTGATGTCCTTCCTTCCTAGGGTGTGCATGCTGGGCAACCGGACTCTTTCCAGGGACCAGTTTGATATTTGTGCCAAAACGATGGTGGTCAACAATGTGACGGTACCCACCGATCTCACCAACCTCTTTTGCCCGGGTTACAACATAACCTCTGGCCACTGCGATGAATATTTTCATTTAAATAACGTAACTGAGATTGTCGGTATCCCGGGAGCTGCAAGTGGAATTTTGAAAGGTAATCTTAAGACCGTGGCATAACTTTGGGATGAAGAAGTAAAGAGCATTGATGAACACATCAAGGCTTGCATATCATCAATTCCGTGTGCAGTCTCTGTATGGGGGGATCTGTGGCAGCTATAAGGGAGAAAATTGAGTCTGAAACCTTGGAGATAGCCTGCCAGCCAGTGTACACCACTGTTTCTCAACCTTGGCAATTTTAAGATGTGTGGACTTCAAATCCCAGAATTCCTCAGCCAGCATGCCTGGTTGGGGAATTCTGGGATCTGAAGTCCACACATTGGACAGTTGCCAAGGTTGAAAAATACTGAATTGTACAATCCTCTGGACTAAATAGGACAGGACATAGGGTGGATCTGTTTTCCTAATTAAATCAGTCCTTTATTTAGAACCAACCTCATTGGAGACCCCAGTGATGCTAGGAATGGTTAGTGGAACAAGAAGAAGGGGCAAGCTAAGAACAGGCTGGCCTGATAACATCAAGACTGATACAAAGATGAACATCCAACAACTGAAAGCAGCGGTGGTTAGCTATTCTGTTCAATAAAGAATTTCCTCATTGCTGGTCAACCAAGGAGACCAGCCTCTCTTGGCTAAGTTCAGCTCCTGTGTGTAAACTATGCATAGGCCTCGGTAAACCTAGCAAGCTATATATATTTTTTCATTTATTCTACATTCCTGATGAGTCTCGTTTCCACCACCCCAGATAATGTCTGGAGCAATTACTTGGAGAAAGGCGAGATCCTGGAAAGAGCGGGCTGTCCGTCCGTTGACGTAGCTGGAAATAAGAACAACCTCCACTTGTACGTCTATGCGGACATTGCAACTTCCTTCACTGTCCTCGTGGGCATCTTTTTCCCCTCTGTGACTGGTGAGAAGATACAAAGGCTGAAATCTGGGTGTATTTTGATGTATTGTGGGTTTGTTTTTTTAGGGGGGGGGGAAGTATCTCTCTTATTTGCCTTTTTGTTTTCTTTTTAAGGCATCATGGCCGGCTCCAACCGATCAGGAGACCTCAAGGATGCCCAAAAGTCTATTCCAGTGGGAACCATTCTTGCTATTGCCACCACATCTCTTGTCTGTATCCTTTAAACGCAAGAGTGTCCATGCTATGGTTTTAGTGCAGGGGTAGTCAACCTTGGCTCTTTTGCCAAGGTTGACTACCCCTGGTTTTAGTGCTTCAGAAACTTTATGTTAGGGGTCTGACTGTGGCCTGTGAAGCAGTAACATCTGCCCTGATTCTATGAATCTTGGAAATGAAAGAGAAAATTAAAATAGCCATGAAGATTCCTTTGAAATAAAGGATGGTCTTCCTGCAGGCTGCAGGTGTGCTTTTCATTTACCTGTTCTTGTACCTCCAAGGTATTCCTTGCTCCTCTCAAAGAGAATAGAATAGAATAGAATAGAATAGAATAGAATAGAATAGAATAGAATAGAATAGAATAGAATAGAATAGAATAATAGAATAGAATAGAACAGAACAGAACAGAACAGAATATTTTACTTTGCAAATTGCATCGGCAGAATCTTGACTATTTTTTGCGACTTAGCAGGAATATTTGTGGCTGATTATTGCGAATGTAGACATTTGTTGTGTCAAAATTCTGGCTTCCTTAACTGGATTTGCACCTCACAGATTTCAGTTGTGTATTGTTGTTTGGAGCTTGCATTGAAGGCGTTGTTCTTCGAGATAAGTAATTATTTCAGATTTTCCTTTCACTGTTGGGTTGCTTGCTTGATATGAGGAGTAAGTCCTTGGAAAGATAATTGAAAATCAGATGGAAATACCAAACAAATTCAAGTCTCTTCTTAAATGACAAATTCTCTCCTCCCCCTCCTCACAGGTATGGTGATGCCGTGAACAAGAACTTAGTGGTGGGCACGCTGGCCTGGCCCACGCCGTGGGTCATAGTGATTGGGTCCTTCTTCTCTACATGTGGAGCAGGTTTGCAAAGTCTCACTGGAGCTCCACGTCTCCTTCAAGCCATCGCCAAGGACAACATTATTCCATTCCTCAGGGTCAGTCCGTTGTTTTTTTTTAAGAGCAAAAGTTGGAATCATTTGATGCGTAGAACTGGGGGATGCGAAAACTTCCTGGGAAAAAAGAGATTCCTAGAATGTTTGATCTTGAGAATTTGTGTTTCCATTACTTTTGAAAAAGCAAGCATGTAACTGGCATGAAAATAACCCAAATGCTGAACAGATAGCAAACTGGGAAGCCCATTTTCAAGAAAGGTTTCAGGATTCTTCCGAGCCCAAGTTAATTTTGTAACTAGACATCGAATACCAGATTTTGCAATATAATATATTTTTGACTTGAAGGCACTTCAGCATCAATCTCCACAAAGCTGTTATGGGTTCTACACAGTTACTGACCTTCTAACTTACAACAGCTTTAGTTCTGAACTTCTTTTCCAGTACTTGCCTGAGATTCCCAGATAGGCTTATTATAGTCCAGTGTTGGAAGTCCTTGTGTGAATGGAGACAGATGCTGATCCCTTGCGATCAGAAGCTGCTTCTCTGTAATTTGGGTCGTTTTTCTCTCAAAACATCAGCACCATATGCTGGATTTAAGTGGCTTTGCTAGACTAAGTTCTCGCTGAGGCTGAGAGAGAATAATTTCTGAAACTGAAGCCAAGGGAAATCGTCATACTCCTGGGTATGAAACTAATTCTCATATGCCAGTGATATCAAATGAAAACTAGAGAACACAGATGTTTCTCTCAGAAGTGAGGAAGAAGCAACTGCTTTGCCCAAACAGGAGATGAACCCTATCAGTTCCTGATGAACAGTGCTCAGTGACTCATCGCGAAAGGGTGCATGTACAAAATATTTTTGTTCTTCTCTCTCTTGTCCTTTTTTTAAACAGGTGTTTGGTCACGGAAAGGCAAATGGAGAACCCACCTGGGCTCTTCTGCTCACAGCCCTGATTGCCGAACTCGGCATTCTCATTGCCTCCCTTGATATGGTGGCCCCAATCCTTTCTATGTAAGTTTGCAGGATGTTGGTTTGAGAGGTAGGGGAGATTTGGGGCCTTCTGACAAAGTGCACCATTTGTATTTCTCTGGAAGCCTTCTCCGTTGAGTTGAGTTGGAAATGTGGAAAATTTGTCCTAGATGACTTCTTGGAGAAGCTCAGAATGTTTTTATGGGATGATGTAGCCTACTTTTTGGAGTATAATAGGAAATTAAAGATGAGAATACGGTGCAAGGAGACCGTCGGCGAGATTTCAAATTCCCCACTCTTAGGAGATACCTAGAAAATTGGTCGCAAAGGTGCTTTTTCAAAGACAACTGAACTTCCTTGAGGGTTTTTTTTTCCTTGAATGAAAAAAGAAAAGAAAGTCCAGTTGGATTTGGAAAAGCACCTTTGTGATAACCATGACTTGGATGATTAAGAATCTCCATAGACATCTAGAGCAGTGGTTCTCAACCTTTTTAATGCCGCGACCCCAACCGGTCGTAAGTCGAGGACTAAACCGGTTGTAAGTCGAGGACTAAACCGGTCGTAAGTCGAGGACTAAACCGGTCGTAAGTCGAGGATTACCCAACCGGTCGTAAGTTGAGGACTTTCCCTGCCTGGGAGCGCCGCGCATGCGTGGTTCCGCCCCCTGCGCCGGCCGAGGCGTAGCTGGCAAGCGGCAGAGACGGAGCAGGCCGACCACCAGCTGGCCCAGCCCAAGGGAGGTAAGGCACCCACCGGAAAAGGGGGAAAAAATGGTGGACAAAAAAAATGGCGGACAAAAAAAATGGCGGACAGCCTTGCTTGGCGACCCCCATGAAATGGTCGATCGACCCCAAATGGGGTCCCGACCCACAGGTTGAGAACCACTGATCTAGAGAATTGCTCATTCTTTCAGCTATTTCTTTACCGTTTCTACTCATATAGAATAGGAATGATAGAGTTTGAACCGATACATCTGGAAGGAAGAATCTAGGTCGGGGTCTTCAAACTTGGCCCTTGTATGACTTGGGGGCTTCAACTCCCAGAATTCCTCAGTCAGGCACGCCAGCTGAGGAATTCTGGGAGTTGAAGTCCACAAGTCATAAAAGGGCCAAGTTTGAAGACCCCTGATCCAGGTCGAAGGAACCTGATATAAACACTAAGAAACTTTTTTGCTGTCAGCAGCTCAAAAAATAAAAAAACTGGGATTTAAAAATGACTGAGAACTTGAGTGAAGGCCAACATTTCGTTAGATGTCAGCCTTCTCACACAAAATCTCTTGACGGCTCATGCCAGAACTCTGATGTTTGTGAGATGTAGCAGCCTTGTGAGATTTCAGACCTTATTACTAGATTTTGCTTTATTGAAAACAAACATTACTTAATATCTATGGTACACAGGCTGTTCTGGAAGAGTCACTTGGTCTAGTGCAGCAGTGGGGAACCTTGGCTCTTTTATGACTTGTGGACTTCAACTCCCAGAATTCCTGAGCCAGCCATGCTGGTAGTGGTTGCCCATCCCGAAGGAACATCAGTTATATTGAAGAAACAACTAGGGACATTCTCAGTACGTTTCTGAGTGTTTCCTGGGATACACTTTAAAAGTGTTGCAGTCAAAAGAAGAAGTGATTGTGTATTTTTTATTCTTTTGGGGCCCTATGGCAGGAGATAATTTTTGACTGCCACCTAGCGTCGATTCTGATGCATCGCTGTTAAACAAAAGGAATCTGTCTATTACTGCAGTTATTTCTCATGCAGTTATTACTCATGACTGCTGTGACAGTCTTTGAACAAATCTAATATTTGGCAACTTAGAAGACTTTTTCGTTCTTCTGTTGCTTTCCTTTCCTGCATTTCCACTGCGAGTCAGGAACATAGGCAGGGTGTGTTAATGAAAGTCAAGAGGCGACCGCAGTGGGGTGATCGAGACTTCGTTGGGTTCTACGTGCATCGCACATGGAAAATGAGTGGAGCTTTCATCACATCGTTATTGTCATCTTGGCATTTCCGACAACACCCTGCAGAGATCCTGATGGCAAGCAGTGTAACGAGCTGTTGCAACAATAGGATGCCACAGAAAGCAGAAAGATGTTCAAATGAAACTCACAAGGAAGACATGGGCAACTGCCAACTTTCTTAATGATATTCCTCTCTCCTCTTTCTTCCTCTTTGCCACCCCAAAAATAGGTTTTTCCTAATGTGTTACCTGTTTGTCAACCTGGCCTGTGCGGTGCAGACTCTCTTAAGAACTCCAAACTGGCGTCCCAGATTTAAGTATTACCATTGGTAAGAATTTTTTTGAATGAACGAACTAGGAGGGAAGTTGCTTCTAAAATTGTCTTTGTCACCGTGTTAAGAGTCCAAAGCCCAAAACACTTGAGAATTTGTGAAGTCTGTGAAACCAGAAGTGCTTGGAAAAATGTCTCTTAGCCTATTGTGCCTCTCTGGCCTGGTTCACACCTTGTTGTGTCATATTGATAATATCTGCAAGTTGGAATACGTAAATAAACTGCTGCAGAGACTGCAAAATCACCAACAAATGTTCTCTGGGATCTTTTCATCCTTCAAGCTGTCTTCCTTCAAGAAATACTTGTATGTGTGAAACCAGCCATCATTGACATGTTGAGTTTTATTTTCTTAGGGCCCTGTCCTTCTTAGGGATGAGTATCTGCCTTGCCCTGATGTTCATCTCCTCCTGGTATTACGCATTAGTAGCCATGCTCATTGCCGGCATGATCTACAAGTACATTGAATATCAGGGGTAAGTGAATTTGTAATGAAAGTAACCTGATTTAAGATAGATGGGAGGGATAGAATTGTAAAACTGGGCCTTTAAGCCCCAACCTGTTTCTATCTAGACCAAGGGTGTCCAACCTTGGCAACTTTTAAGACTTGTGGACTTCAACTCCCAGAATTCCCCAGCCAATATGGAGTTTTAGTCCATGGGTCTTAAAGTTGTCAAGGTTGGACACCCCTGGTCTAGACATTTTGAGACCCTAGCTTCCTCAAGATGTTGCCAGCAAAAGGGCATTGTAAGATTTATATCTAGACAGCAACATTGAAAGAAGAAGACATTTGTGGAATCATTGGTGCTCTCTGAACCTGCCTGTTGTCTTACAGACATTTCATTACCCGACATAAACAGTGTGAATGAGTGTGAGGTTTTCTCCTTGTTTATATATAGTAGTTTGCCCTGTCAGCATTGTGGGGGGGGGGGTCAAGAAGATATTTGATTTAACAGACGCTTCCCTGGAAATACTGTATCTACGCGGGAGGGGGAGTGAAGATAAGAAACAGAGTTCCCAAGGTAGGTACATCAAAATTTGAATGGTCACTAAGTGACCAGTTATAAGTTGAGGACTACCTGTATTGGGTCTCTGAAAAAGAATAGTGTTCTGAATTGACTCGATTCTGTCAATGCAAAGGATCAGAATAATCTGTTATGTTGCAGCATAAGTTTATTCAACAAGAATCTGGTCAACTAAACTTGAGTACTAAATTGGCTCCAGATAAAGGTCAGGAGGGCTTGGACTAGGACTGTTTGTGGCAATGTAAGGATTCTAAGCTGGTGACGCTTTTAACTCCGCCTCCTCCAGCTCTGCCTGCTCTTCTACAATTCTGACGTTCTCTTTTCTAGGGCAGAGAAGGAATGGGGTGATGGTATCCGGGGCCTGTCTCTAAGTGCTGCCCGCTATGCTTTGCTGAGATTGGAAGAAGGTCCTCCCCATACCAAGAACTGGAGGTGGGTTCTTTCAATTTGATGTAAATTTTGTGTAGTTTTTTTTTCCAATAGGGAAGTCAGTGCATGCCTGACTTTGTTACCACTTCTCCGTGATTTAAAATTAGGCATTCAAACACTCTTTGGGAACCGGTTCTCCTCCAGTTGCTAAACCTTGAGGCACCCTGAAGTCCTAAGAACATAAATATGGAAAGGGGATTGCCAGAATCACAGAATATTTGCAGCACAAATATGATACCTTTCATGGTGTCTCGGGGTCCTTAAAAAATCAAACCAAATCCCTCTTTGCATTGGATTTGGCTGGGACCAAACTGTCTGCATGAAACAAATGGCAATGAGCCCAAATGAGGCTGGGGCAAAACACTGAAATAGCTAAAAAATCTCTTGGGAACAGCCAGAAGGGAACTAAAGCTGGCCAGTCCAGCTTTAAAGTGGCTTAATTTATTCCAGTTTGTTGTTGGGGGGAGCGTGACCTCTGTCACTCAAAATTCTCTTCCTTTTCTCCCTTCTTAGACCCCAATTGTTGGTATTGCTGAAACTGGATGAGGATTTGCATGTGAAATACCCCAGGCTCTTGACATTTGCTTCGCAACTGAAGGCCGGGAAGGGGTTGACCATTGTTGGGACTGCAATACAAGGCAACTTTCTGGAAAGTTATGGAGAAGCCCAGGCAGCTGAGCAGGTGAGGCCTGGCAGAAACCAGGTGTGAAAGCAAGATGTAATTGGTTAAACACATCTTAACTAATTAATTGTAGGAGATATATAGTTTTTATTGGCCAGTCAAAGCTACTGCAGCCGGATTTATTAATATCCTAAGCTGAGTATTTTAAGCTCATCTAGGTATATTATCTGTGGTATAATTTCAGGAGGCAGACAAGTGACAAGCTTCTTTTAATTGATTGATTCTGCTAGCACACTTGGAATACCGCATCCAGTTCTGTCAGCATGATAGAAATAATGTTGAGACTCTAAAAAGACTGCAGGGAAGAGCAACAAAGACTATTAAGGGATTGGAAGCTAAACCATACAATGAATGATTGAGGGAACTAAATACGTTTAGTTTAACAAAGGGAAGGACGAGGGGTGATATGATAGCAGTCCTTTCAGTAACTGAAGGGCTGTCACAGAGAAGAGAGGGGTCAACTTATTCTCCAAAATACCTCTGGACAGGATAAGAAGTAATGGATGGAAGATCATTAAAGAGAGGTCCAACCTAGAATTAAGGAGAAATTTCATGACAGTGAGAACAATTAATCAGTGTAACAGGATATCTCCGGAAGTTGTGGGTGCTCCCACAACAAGGTTTTCAAGAAGAGACTGGACAGACATTTGTCTGGAATGGTATAGAGTCTCCTACTTGAGGAGGGTTAGACTAGAAGACCTCCAAGATCCCTTCCAACCTTATTATTCTAGGCTCTACATTCTAATACAGAGTTCCCCAACCTTTTGGGCACCAGGGACCAGTTCCATGGAGAGGGTTTTTTCCATGGGCTGGAGAGGGCGTGGTTTTGTGTACTGCCTGCATCCCACAGATGGGGCTTTGCTTGTTTGTGCGGCCCGATTGGTGGCATGCCGTGACCCTGTACTGGTCCATGGACCGGGGGTTGGGGATCCCCATTCTATCATGAGTACAATTCACTTCACTGAGGGATCTTTGGGTAATTAGCATTCAGTGTAGTCTCTTTCCACCCTATTGTGATTAAATAGTCTTTTCTTTAACATACATCGGTTTAAAATCTCTGCACCAGTGGCCACCTGGATGCCAATGGGCATTTCCAAAATACAGTTTGATTTTTCATCTGTAAAAGGGACAGATCTTTCTGTTTTTAATGATCTTCTAGCCAGTTTCCCATAATTATGACCCTTGGATCTCCTTGGCTATCTTTCAGACCATCAAGAATATGATCGAGATTGAGAAAGTCAAAGGATTTTGCCAAGTTGTTGTAGCTAATAAGGTCCGTGATGGCATTGCCCACTTGATACAGTCCTGTGGATTGGGTGGCATGAAGCACAACACAGTGGTTTTGGGGTGGCCCTATGGCTGGAGGCAGAGTGAAGATCCTAGATCTTGGAAGACCTTTATAGGTAAGTTCAAAGAATGATTAGCATCCTTCTTGGGTTTTTTTTCTTCCCAAGCATGATTCAAGCATCGTTTTCTATGGTGAATAGTAGAGTGTGTAAAACTAGCTATTTAGAATTCAAAATAAGGCTGTTAACCTGCTGCTCAAAAGAAGAACTATGATATTGTTGTGAGTTGAAAACTGGATGGACTTTAACCTCACTAAAAAATTTCCGTCTGCCCGTAAAAAGAGTTTCTGGATGTGGAATTCTTCCTAAGTCTTCTGTATCCTTTCTTATTTCATCATTTCTTGATAATTTTATATTTCTCAAGGAACAAGGGGGCACAGGATGTATGGCTAAAATTCAGTGAAGGGATGTTCTCCGTTTCAGCCTATGTCCATTATTATCAGTTTATGTGAGCGTTTACAATTTTATTTTTAAGAACTGTGGGAACTACCGTTTATCAAGTTAGGATGTTATTTTGAGTAACTCAGATTTGTCAACATGGATTGATTACAATGATAGATCAGAGTTTCTTTGGGGTTCCAGTCAAGGACTTTGTTTACATCTTCCTAGTAGAGCCAAGGTGTTCTGCATGCGAATTATTATTTTTTTGTTCTAGAATTATAGTCTTCCTGATTAATAGCATTGCCACTTTGAAATGCATGCAACATTGTTTTTGTGTCTTTAAAGTTTACCTACTATACTGTTTTTGTTCTGTTTGTTTGGAGGCAATGCTCCAAAATTCTTCAGTCCTTTTACCTATCTTTTAACTTTGTGCAGCCTACGTGTCACTCAGTACTCAACAGAGACTTGGTGTTGACCATTGCCTTCCAGTTCTGCTACTGCACTGTCACAATTAGCGCCAATCATTTCCAATGTTTCCTGCTAGCTTCCTACAAGGAACAATGGGAAAGCCAGCAGGAAATCAGAAGTCGCTCTTCATTCCACTGTATTTTTGCCCACCCATTCACGGTGATTCTGTTTATCTGTATATAAAAGGAAATATCTCTGAAACAATGATCCAATGCATGTCTTCAACAGATCATACTCTATTATAAATTTCGGGTCAAGATATCCGTTGGTCTAAACTGAGAGTCGTTGGTACAGAAAGGAGAAAAATTAAAGTCTGTGACAGGCAACGTGTTGACGTCGGGTGGAGCGGAACGAACACGGCTTTTTACACAGGAAGATAGGGTCGTTAGTGCTCGCAATGTTACTTCCCTTGTAACTCGTGTGGTGGATCGTGCATGATGGAGGCATGTTGATGCTGCTTCCGTTTCTCCTCAAACAGCATAAAGTAAGAATGTCAAGAACTTGTTGAGAGTTTACAAGACCTGCCTGGGCTGAACCAGGTGAACCGTCAGTAGTCTCTATTGATTGATGTTGCCTGATATAATTGAGAAAATTCACAACTTTTCCAGGATGTTCCCTCCCGTCTTTTTTTTAGAGGCAACATTTAATCAGACAACTTTGCTGTATCAGGCAACGTCAATGAGTAATTTTAAAAAAAATCTCCCTAAAATATTAGATGATGAATATAGGAGGTTAACTTTATGGTGACCTGTATCAGGTAAGGAGTTTAATTTAATGGGTTGTTGTACAGGTAGTCCTTGAGTTAACGACCAGTGACTTAGCAACCATTCAAAGTTATAACAGACCCCTATGAAAGATACAACCAGTTCCCCAGTTCTGATATATACTTGCATAGTTGTATGAACCTGTCAAATAACCCTTGTATAAAGGTGTGCTTTACCAAATGCATTGAACTCTGTAGAGAGGACCGAATGTTTTTGAGAAGATAAAAAGTTTTCCCCTCTATAGGTCTGGCGAAAATGCAAAATGCGAATTTTCACCGTGGCCCAGATGGACGACAACAGCATCCAAATGAAGAAAGATCTGGCCGTCTTCCTTTACCACCTCCGAATTGAGGCTGATGTAGAAGTGGTGGAAATGGTAAGGGACTCCTTCAGGGGGTGGTCTATGTCTTGTGGGCTTGGTTCCAACATGGTCTTTTCCCTGCCTCTAGCAAAACAGCGACATCTCGGCCTACACTTACGAGCGGACCTTGATGATGGAACAGAGATCTCAGATGTTAAGGCAGATGCGGCTGACCAAAACGGAAAGAGAAAGGGAGGTACGTCTTCAAATTGCTATTGCAAAATGAGGGTGCTCACTGGCAGTCAACCCAAGGTCTAGACCAATACAAATTTTGTTCCTACCGTCTTACATGTCCGACATTCTAAAGATATCCGTCGGTCCTGTTCGGTACCTCCTCAGTTTTCCTACAGGACGTAACACTCTACAACATTTAGGAACATGTCTTAACTTATATTGTTATGCAGTGAGACTGGACCAACGTTTTGGGGCATTGAAACCCAATCCTGCCCCTGTGGTATGGGTACCGTAGAAACCACAGCCCACGTTCTTCTGTATTGCTGGTTCTATAAGGACATTCATCTTCAGTTGATTTCCCTTCTTTTATTTAAATTTCCAGGGCACTCTTTTATTTAAATAATCAAGATAAATGGATTTCTCTAAAAGTAGCAAAATTTGGCTACGCTATGTGTAAACGGTTGCTAGTAATCCTTCTTCTTCAATTTTATCGATTGTATTTTTATTGGTCAATGACTGAAATGAAGTTCTATCTGTCTGCCCTGGTTACACTGTCAATCAATCGTGATATTTTGCTCATCCAAGATACTTCCAATCTGTGTCCCAGGGATTTTCCAAGCAGACAACCAACGATATTTCTCATTGGAATAGCGCGACACTGTCCTTTGGAGAACAACCATTTTGTTATTACCCAGGCAGGCAAGGCAAGGCAAGGCAGGTCTCTAGGGTCCCCAACCCCCTGTCCGTGGACCACTACCAGGCCGCAGCATACTAGCAGTTGGGCTGCACAAACAAGCAAAGCCCCATCCGCGGGATGCAGGCAGCACACAAAACCAACTACCCTCCGGTCCATGGGAAAACCTCTCTCCACGGAACTGGTCCCTGGTGCCCAAAAGGATGGGGACCTCTGCTCTAGAGAGCCTGTCAACTGTCCAGTTTATCTGCTCACAGTAAATGTTCTTTGTGAGGAGATGGGGCAATCTTCTCCCTAGTAGCCTTACCACCCTTCTCTGAACTTGCCTGTGCTCTACTCTCTGTGTCTTTGGATCAAGTGGAGGAGGCAGCTGTTCCTCATCAAAGGGGATCTGCTGCCTCTCAGCACCACTGCCTCTCAGCAGCCGATCCTCCCAAGTCTGCGAAGGCAGGCAGCTCTCCATCTGGTCGACCACCTGCCTGAGGGGCCTGGGATAGCATCATCCTCAGCCCTTGGTCTCTCCAAACATGCCAAGGGAGATGTGCCATCCCTGTCTGACGGTCCCGATTCCAACTCCTCCTCCAAGCTGGGCTCTGATGAGGCCATGACATATTTTCCATCGTTTGTTCTTCTAGGCTCAGCTGGTGAAAGACAGACACTCAATCATAAGATTGGAGAGCCTTTACTCCGACGAGGAGGATGAAGGGGAAGCAATCCCAGAAAAGATCCAGATGACTTGGACGAAAGCTAAACACGACTCTGAGAATCAGATCGGAAATAGTGTGGTGGAGCACTTCAAAGAACTTATCAGTCTTAAACCGTAAGTATCCGAGATCTTTGCTCGAATGAAAACTGCTGTTTTTACTTTGACCCAAATCCCTTGGGTCAGTAGTACTGCAGAAAATCTTGTTTGGGTTGGCTCTGTGCTCCTCCTGATGCTTTTATTTTTGCTCGACACTATCTAAAATATTGTCATTATTTTGTCCTGGACAAAAAAGGTCCAGCTGGACGAAATCACTACTACTGCCAAGAACAAAAAAATCTTAATTAAGGAGTGATGCATACTGTCCTCCCCTGGTTAAATTGGTAGGAAGTTCCCCAAAGATCCAAAAATATGTGGCATTGTCCAATGAAACATCACCACCCTTTTGATAAATAGAAACAGGAAACTTTTTGATGAGGAAGCAGCTGTAAGTGAAAGCTCTCTCCCTCCTTAGATAAATCTTAATTTCTGGTAGCAACAGAGCTACAAATCAACTCTTGAGTCTCCATTTTGGTCTACCTTACGTGCTTTATTTTGCAAACAGAAGGCTGAACTGTACCGTTCCCCCCCCCCCAAATCAGGAAGTGTAGAGTTTCTTTAAGATTGTTGCTATTCCCGGATCCATTTTGATTATGTAAATAGAGACACAATACATTGTTGTAATTATCATTGCTATCATTTTTTTGCATTTTGTTTTGAATGCACAACTGTTGACATTTGAGCAGGTATTTTTTTTAAGGGGATGGAACTCACACAGACACACATGAACATCACTCTCAAGATGATGAAAGGGTAACACTTGTGGCAGAGAGGCATTCCAAAACAAAGTGTGTTTGTGTGTGTGTGTGTGTGTGTGTGTATTGCCTTCAAGACAATCTTGATTCTTAGCAGTAAAAGCCTGGACAAGTTCCTAAAGTTTTCTTAGCAACATTTTTCAAAAGTGGTTTGCTCATATCTTCTTCTACTGTGGGCTGAGTGAAGTGACCGACCCAAAGTCACCCAGCTGACTTTGTGCCTACAGCAGGACTAGAATTCACAGTCTCCTAGTTTCTAACCTGGTACCTTTAGCTGCTACACCCAACTGGATCCCAACAATATTTCTGGGGAGTAAGCTGTTTTTGACTTGTTGATTTCTATGTCATTTTGACCCCTTTAGTGACCAGTCAAATGTCCGAAGGATGCACACTGCTGTGAAGTTGAATGAAGTCATTGTCAATCGGTCCCATGATGCTCGACTTGTTCTTCTCAACATGCCTGGTCCACCCAAAAACACAGAGGGGGATGAAAACTGTATCCTTTTCAATGCAATCCACGATTCCACGTAAAATGTGTAGAACCTTCTGATGGAGTCATCTAAATTTAGTTAGGTCTCCACTAGCTAGCAAGCAATATGGCTCCTTATTTCGTGGACTCTCCCAAGAGCCCCAAATACACTTTTCCAAGAAAAACGATTCATTTTCCCAATGATATATATATAGACCATAATTTAGTGTGGCGCAAACTTTCCTTGGTAATTGTTATTTATCTCTTAACAATCTGATTTACACACTTAAAGCTACTCCAGGAAAGCATCACTTCAAATATAAAAATGCCACGCAGTAAATTTTAATTGCAATTCAACTTACGTTGCACTAGATTTGGGGTTTTTCCCCCCCATTTCATTGCAGGGGTATCTATCCAAAAATGTATTTGAGGTTCACAGGAACAACATGTGGCCCCAACAGCCGCGTAAGAAAATGTTTCTCAAAAATGAAATTCAGGCCAGGGGAAAATTTTTAAAGTTATATTTGATCAGATACTGATTCCAGAATTCTGACAAAATGTTAACAGCAATTGTTCTGTGGCTGTCTTGCTAGAGGCTGATTTTCCAAGTGAATTGTTGGTTTCAGGTCCGTGTAGCAGTTTAATAACAATCAGTCTCACAGCTTGCAAAGACTAGTTGTCAAATACAACAAGCTGTGTGTCATTGCACTGTTACAAAGCTTGATGTTATTGAGATCCAGCAGACCGGATCCTCACGGAGTTCCAAAAAAGGAAAAAAAAAAAAGAAAAGAAGTTCCTTCCACAGCACCTCCAAATGCTTTTCATGGGCGTATTTTATGAATACAGGATATCCTCGACATACGACCACAATTGAGCCCGAAACCTATGTTACTAAGCGAGACATTTGTTAGGCGAGTTTTGCCCCATTTTACGACTTTTCTTACCACAGTTTTTAAGTGAATCGCAGTTGTTTAGTAACACGGTTGTTAAGTGAATCTGGCTTCCCCATTGACTTGACTTGCCAGACAGTCACTCAAGGTGGATCGCACCTCCCTGGGTCACTGCAGTGGTCATAAATATGAGTCAGTCTGAATTTCGATACTGCAATGGTCGTAAGTATGAAAAATGGTCCTAAGTCACCTTTTTTCAGGACCGTTGTAACTTGGAACGGTCTCTAAACGAACTACCTGTATATCTGCCAATGTTTTAAATGCAGTCCTAGAATATATGTCTGGCACATACGTTTAACATCCCGTAGCAGTCCCGTATTACGTTGACACTTCTTCTCCTTAAATGCTCTGATCCAGACATGGAATTTCTTGAAGTTTTAACTGAAGGTTTGGAGCGTGTGTTGCTGGTTCGAGGTGGAGGCCGAGAAGTCATTACTATTTACTCCTGATCCAACAAGATTCGCTCTAGTTACTGTTCTACCTGCTTGGCGAGAAAAGACATTCCAGATGGAGAGGATTCCGACTTCTCTTGCTTTCTGTTCCTTGGTTTTCACACGTGCGCACCAATACACTACAGATGTGAATTCGAATTCCAGTGAATTCTTCCATTGGCCATGTATCTGAGTATTTCCGCCAGGGACACACATTTAATCACAAAGCTGGGGTGCCAGTTCGTTTCTGGTTTTCTATTCTGACAGATTTCTGTGCAGTTTCAATGCAGAAGCTTTCCATGTATTTTTTTCCCCCCCCAAAAAAAACCAAGTACGAAATGTTAAGGTGTTTACATTGCTAAAGGAAGACTGAATTTGGTTATTAGATAACAGGATTTAAAAACAAACCATTTCTCTGTTAGGATTTCAGGAGGGCTTTTATAGAACTGCTATGTTTTTTTTCCTGCTCAGTATTTTCTACATGAAAAGAACCCTGCATTGTTTTTAAAAGGTGTGTGTGTATATATATAGTTTTTGTAAACCCACCATAGCCACAATTTCAGTGTTGGATAAGAATTTATACTTCACCGGTTTTAAATTATAACATTATGGTTTCTTGCAGTGTTACATACAAAACTGGGGGTCTCAGATTGAAATAGACCCTCTATGACCTATTTATTTTTTTTCCTATTTATTAGAATCAGTGGCAATAAAAATATCACCTAGAGTAATTTGTTAAGGTTGTGTTGCTGCAATAAGAGAGCCTGCTGGCAGCTAAATTTGCAACTGCCAACTAGGGGTGTTTTTTTAAAGGGTATTTTTTAAATGTTTACTGCTATCTTTGTCCTCTTCCAAACTGCAGGCAAATATATAGCTCACACTTATCTAAACTTGTTAAGTACACAATATGCTCGCTACAGTTCGAAGAGTGATAAACATTAAGAAAAGGACATTTTATACTCGAAACGTAGTTTTTTAAAATTAGTTTTCACATCCGTTCATTTGTACTTATTGTACAGGTCTGTATCTCTCTCTTTTTTCCAATAAAACATTGCATACTTTTGAATCTGTATTGGATGACCTGAAGTAAATGGAACTGTTTAATCATGATTAAGGTAAGTATTTCTGCCATATGATTTATCTTGACCTCTTTTCCAGCTAGTTTGACTTCTCCAGAAGAGGGTACAGCCCATTTGATAAAAGCTGTAAGAGTAGACTAGAAAGAGTACAGAGAAGAGCAACAAAGATGATTAGGGGACTGGAGGCTAAAGCATACTGTATAAGGAACGGTTGCTGGAATTGGGTATGTCTAGTTTAACGAAGAGAAGGACGAGGGGGGACATGATAGCAGCCTTCCAATATCTTATTAAGAGATTATTAATCTCTTAATAAAACCAACCAGAAAGATTGAATTAACTATAAGGGCCTCTTCAAGAATATTTATTATATGTTTGTGTGTGTGTACGTGTACATCACAGGGATGTGCAGGTCATCCTTGACTTAATGACCATAATTGATCCTGGCACCACAGTTGTAAATCGTGGCCGTTGTTAAGCCACTTGACTGTGCCCACCAATGTTACGACCTTTTTTTTGCAATCGTGGTTAAGGGAATTCAATTTCCTTTTCTTCAATGGGTGTTTTTCTGCGGGAAACCGGAAGTAAATGCTAGCAAAACCTGCCAAATATCATGATCACGTGACCAGGAGGTACTGCAAACATTGAGGAAGTCTGTTGTAACTATGAGTAGTCACTAAGCGAGGCTTATCTATATTTAATACGAAGCTTTTCGTTTCTTTGTATCCTGTAATGCCCTCCGAAGTTGGTGCGTGAAGAAAAAAAGTGAATTCAATAATAAAACAGGATAATCATTTTTAATATGCGCCAGGGCCTTCAAACATGCCACAGAAATAGCCATTTTACAAAGTCACCTAGACAAAATATATACATTTATAGTCGCCCCTGTTTTAATCTCCTAAAATTGTACAAATCTCTTGCAAATTTAGTGCCATTCAGCCTTATACATACACTCATTCCTTTGACGTACACGTACATTTAAAAATAAATAACGCTCCCGCCTCGTAAAGAGAAATGGATCTTACAGCTTTTTTAAAAAAACATGCACACACAAAAAGTTGTTGGTTTTTTCCTTTTCTGACATTTTTCTAGCTGTTGCATAGGTATAACCAGGCACGGTCCATAATGCAGCAGATGGTTTAACCTCTTTTGCTTGTTAGGATGCCGTTTCAAAAAATTTAATCCGGTCGAGGCACGCTGCGCTTGCCTTCTGTTCCAGAAAACACAGTTTCACCTAGCAAAAAGACAGAGTTGTGTTTTTAGGTTTTGGAAAAGTTTAACACTCGAGTCGATATAGGTCAGGGGTAGTCAACCTTGGCTCTTTTATGACTCGTGGACTTCAACTCCCAGAATTCCTGAGCCAGCTGAAGTCCACGAGTCATAAAAGAGCCAAGGTTGACTACCCCTGCTATAGATAGTCCTTGAGCCCAAAATGGATGTTGCTAAGTGAGACATTTATTAAGTGAGTTTTGACTTTTCTTGCCGCATTTGTTAAGTGAATCACTGCAGATGTTAAATTACTAACATCTGGCTTCCCCCATGGATTTTGCTCGCTAGAAGGCCGCAAAAGGCGATCACATGACCCCGGGATACTGCGACCGTCGTAAATATGAGACAGTTGTCAAGCATCCAAATATAAATCACACAACCCTGGGGATGCTCCAATGGTCCTAAGCATGAAAAATGGCCATAAGTCCCTTTTTTCAGCACCGTTGTAACTTTGAATGGTCACTAAGCAAACGATTGTAAGTTGAGGACTACCTGTAGTTTAAAAGAAACTTGGATTTGGGCCATGAATAGGCCGTGTTTGAGGTCTGAGGGATATTTTTCTCCACGCACCATACAGACCATGTTTTGCTTGTAACATCAAGTAACAAAGCCAGCATCTCGTCTTCCTGCAACTTGGAAAACCTGTTAGAAAACCACACAGAACTTCTAATCAAAGCAATATTTTCAGTGCAAGGTAACAGCTCTTACCAGGTGGCTTTCAAAATCACCCACCCAAGGAAACTCGGATTGCTAGGAATAGAATTTGCTATTGCTGACTCTTTTCTCTTTCAATCTGGAAAAAAGCAAAGGGGGGGAAAGAATTCAGCTGCAACATTAGTTCTCTTCTTCCCTAGCATAGTGATTTCTTAACTATATGTACTTAAATGCTCATTGGGGGGGAAAGCAAATAATTCAATAATAAACAGAAAGGGGATAATAAATGTGTAAGGGATAAATTTGCAGACGGTGTTCTGTCCCCGTTCCGACCCACACACCCAAACAGCCAGCCGAGGGTTTAAC